AAACTGAATGTGTACACGAAAGTTTTAATCGAGTGATTACTCTAATAAATCAATAAGAAACGATATCGTTTATTCTTCAAATATTAACTTTTTCATTATTTATGAGCGACATTGGGAAGAAAAAGTGATAAGAAAAAATATTATTGACTAGCTGCCTAATATCTAGTTACAGTAAAGAAAGAAAAAGAGTGAAAGTAAGAAAATCCATACTTATATATATGCACGTAAAGTGTATATCATTCGAATGAAAAGCATAAAGATACTTTGTTATGTTAGAATGTATTGTCCTTTCATTCTTCTTTATTCGTTCTTCTTATTTATGTTACAAAAATTCAAAATTGTCTATGTGTATTATCTTGTCTATGCTAGAACCAGTGTTTTTAATAGCGCGTGCCGAGTAGGTTAGCGAAGTGCCGGCGGCACGGTAAAATTTGAAAAGGCACGGTATTTGGTACTTAGCTGAAAAAAGTAAAGTACTAAGATGGCACTTTGTTAAATGAAAAAATACTTTGCTTATTGTTTATACTATAGCTTATTCATAAATTACTTTTTTTCTTGTTCTTTCTTTTCTTTTCGTTTTACTTGTAGTTGGAGCTAAGATAGTCCATTCTTCTTCGAGATTTATTATCTGCTGCCGGTCGTAGAGATTATTGTTTTTTACTAAACAAGTTATTCAATCCATTTTTATCGTAGCATATTTATTTCTTACAGTTGTTTGCAAAAAAGCTTGGAAACCTTCTTCTACAAATATCTTCTCCTATACAAGTGCTTTTCGGATTAGTTTATAATATGGTAGTTAGCCTACGAAGAGCGCCAGACAACAGTATAATTTCATATTCTTTTGATTGACTTGTAAAAATACGAAAAGGGAAAGAAATAACAATTTTATATATACAACATGTAGTTTGTCTCCAAGGATTTATTCCTGGAAGAATCAGTTTTATATTCATTTGTAACAGTAGAAAAATAGCTGTCTTGAAAGAAACCATTTTCCAAGTTTTCTTGCAAACAACTGTATTTAATATGATTGTTGTTGGTATGTTTTACTTCGTTTACGTTATTGTTTCTATCGAACTAATTCTTCATAAAAATATATGAATAGTAAATACTTTGTCTGTATTTTCTTGACATGTTTTTTTGACCTTCGGTACGGTATGGTACTTTGCCATTCAAAGCAAAGTGCCAAATGGTACATTGGCTACACATTCGACATGCTGAAAGGTATTTTACTTCAAATTCCTATTAAAAATACTGTATGGAACGTAAAGTTCTAACATTTCTTGACATGCATAACCGTCGAGTAAATCCATAGAAAATAAATATTTTGATATATATGACCCTAATATAAAAATGAAATGCTTAAGATTGTGCATACAACGCAATAAATAACTAATTGAAGCAATATTCCATGCAACAAAAAGTTTCAATTCAAATGAGATCACATGTGATAATACAGGAAGCTCATCTCCATCGACAAATGGTATCGGAACTGGATCACTAAAACAAAACAAAAAGATTTTCTTTTGAATTAAAAACTTTTCTCTTTGTACACTTTTTCAACTAATACATTTTTTATTCGACAACTTACTAGATATTATTATTGTTAACCGCACTTTTATCTCTCACGGTTAGACCTATATAGCGTACTCTATGACAAAGGCGAAGAATTGTCAAAATTGAATTTAGAGAAGTCATTGAAGATGAACCATTTATAAACAAATACAATGATGAGATGTTTGAAGATAATGAGGTATTATTGAAAATATTTGAATAATTATAAGAATATTGTAGAACAATTGAGCGAAGAGAAGATGATTTGTGCATTAACATAGTTCGAGCTAATTCATATTTATCGTTTTTATTCATAGTTATACCATTTAGATTAAAAATATCAAATGAAACAAGTTTATCAAAATTTTTTATTTGTTGAATGACATTGTCAAGTTTTGTTGATTGATGAATTCTTATAAATTTACAAAATAGAAGATTAATAAAATCATGTCGACTGAATAATAAACTAATAATAGATGTATCGTCACGAACTATATCATTTATTTTTATTGAAATAACTTGATGAGCATGGAAAGTAAGATAAGAAGAAAGCAGATCAACTTGATTACGACAATGCTTTCCTGAAATAATAATACGAAGTGGAGTTGATTGGAAAATCGACGAAATTCTTTTATTCAATGAACCAAATGCACTAAAGATATCAAATGCATGTAAATAGTCAAATATTTCTAAGAAAATCTCGTTTGGTAAATTTTCTAAACGAGTTTCTGTACTCATTTGTATAAATATGAAGTAATAGTTAAATGATTGAATTTATTTAGAATGAAAAAATATATCAAACTATTGAATATCTGCAAAGAATATATAACATGCTTTATAATAATATATCTAAGAACAGTATTGACGCCGGCTACGACATACAAAATAAAATTGACCGTCTATTTTCGACTGAAAATATACAATATGACTTCTCGTATACGAACATTGTCGAAAAGAATGTACTTATTCCTCAGCAGTTTATTTCTTCTCTCCAACTCAAGCTCAAAATGAATTGTTATATTCATATTCAACAATAAACGATTGTCAAATTGAGAACAAAGATAAGATTGATTTCACTATTCATGCATTCATTTCCCTCTCTCGAATTTCCAACGAATCAATCAGATACGAAATCTTATTTCATAAATAGGTGGCACCATATGCCGATGTTCATATTATAGAGGTTGATTTATATTGGCAGAGACTGATAAAATAGCGTTCAGATTGGGAAATACAAGTTGATCATTTAGGAGAAGGCGACACCCAGCAAAATTATTGAGAATGGAACATATTACTTTTAAAGAAAGCAGTTTTGTTTAGTTTAAATTTTTGTTCTCCATAAATGACAGAAACGTTTGTACATGAACTAGACGTAGCATATTGATGAGAAACTAACTGTTAGATAGATATATATTTGTATTGCGCTTCTTTGTTTATTTATAAAAGATCATAAATTAGAATTTTATATTACAGAAAATTACGTGTTTCTAGAAACTCCCTATCAAGATGGTGAAATAGATTCTATTATGAATTTAATATGTATAAAAAAGACGTTAACTGAATCTTTCATAGCTCAAAATAAATTACATGCTGAATTTCAAAGTCAATTAACATATTTATGAAATCTCCAAAGATTTTATGCGTGAAAGTATTTTTTTAAAATCTGTCATCAATGAAATAAAAGTTATATTTAGAAACTGTTCCGTTGTGTACGTAATTCAATGGAGTTTATTGTCAAGATGTTTTAAAATTATGATAATTGCACCAATCTTCTTGCAATTCAGTATGTGATTTTGTTAAAACTAGTATTGTCTCATTGATTTTATTTATGAAACGATTCATCCTGGCAGTAACCTGTTCATGTGATGAATCGTCCGTGACGATATATTCTAGCACAGACAAGATAATACATATAATAGACAATTTTGAATCTTTGTGACATGTATAAGAAGAACGAATAAAGAAGAATGAATTAAGATAACGCAAGGAAAATACGAGAGAGCAGACACATGTGAAGCAAAAAGAAAGAACAGCGAAAAAAATTAATACATGTGTTCGCTTATAAATAGAAGAAAAAATTTCAATATTATGTAATATAATGAATAAACCAACAGCAATTATCATTAAGAAATAGCCTAAAAAAAACTTTTCTATTAAGAAGTTTATTTCTATAATTTAAAGAGCTTACCAATAATAACACCTAGCAGAATTAATTTTCCGACAGTAAAATCAAGTGTTATTGTTATGCTAGCTGTTGCTGTGCTGCTGGGTAGTGATTATTGTTGTGCTGGCGGTGGTGGTGGTTATCGTTGTTGTTCCGCACCATTATTTGGCAATACATCTTCTTGTAATACGCTCATCTAAAACGAAAAGAAGAATTTCTATATGATTTTCTTTTGTTGAAAATTAATTGGACTTACTAAATCAGCACTATCCAGGTTGAGGAATCCGGCACGGAAACGATCGGTTTCGTGGTGTTTCGGAGATTTCATGGGAGCAGTATTCCGATTGAACGAATCTGGTGTGGGTGTGGGTATGAGTGTAGGTATGAGTGTGGATTAAGAGAAGCTAAATACCCACACCTACACCCACACCCACCCCTCAACCTGTAAGTTGTTGTTATTGTGCTGCTGGGTGGTGGTTGTTGCTGTGCTGGTGGTGATTGTTGTTATTGTTCTGCACCATTATTTGCCAATACATCTTGTAATACGCTCATCTAAAACGAAAAGGAGAATTTCTATAAGAATTTCTTTTGTTGAAAATTAGTTTTACTTACTAATTGTTGTCGACGATTGACGTTGACGTCCATTTTTATAATAAAATTATTTAAATCTAAATAGAATATATTATAGCAAATTGTGTGTTTTCAAGAAACTATCCATCAAGGTAATGGAATAGATTCTATCACGAATTTAATACGTATATAAAAAAGGCATTAACTGAATTTTTCATAGCTCAAAATAAGAAATCTGTCATCAATGAAATAAGAGTGTGGGTGGGGGTGTAGGTGTGAGTGTGGGTCTTGTTCGTCTCTTAGACCCACACCCGCACCCTCAAGATAATCGTAACATATACTAAAAAAAACTTTTATTATTGAAAAGTTCATGGCAATAATTTGAAGAACTTACTCATTATAAATATCATCCCCATAACAACTTCTTTCGATAGAACATTTAGTGCTGGTGAAAGTCCCACTATTGATGCGGGTGGTAATGGTAATGCCACTGTTGATAGGCGTTGCATCAGTCACACTCCTCGATCCAATGTAATCTAAAACAATGATATGATTTTCTTTTATTGAAAATTAATTTTACTTACGTGTTCGTCATATTGAGAACCGAGAAATGGCATCTAAAATAAAAAGATATTTTAATATAAAACAGTATTTACTAAAGTAAATTAAGAATATCTATATCAATCTCTAAGATAAAATTACT